GAGGACAGATAAAGGACAGCTGTTGCCATCATATCATCTAATAACCAAATTTTTATAATAATCAAGAAAGCATTCAAGTAGAAGGTGAATCGAAATCAGTTATTGCCTATATATTTTGATCTATTTTTGACTTTCTCATTCTGCTTACAAAATCAAGCAGAGGCAGTTCTTTCCTCTTTTGCACTGCTTCAAAGTCCAGGTAATGCAAGAGCCTAATTAAATGCGACAAGTTGAGGCCATCAATTTTCTGTTGCGTATTCATGCCCACGTTTTTTTCATTTCATTCCTTGTCTTCTTCTTGGTGTTGCCAACTCTCTAGTTAAAATGCTATCAAAACAATCCCAAACAGCTGTTCGGCTGCTGTTGAGCGCACAAATCCAATCTTGGAACGCGCCACTCGCCAGACCGCCGGACTGGGAAATGTGCAACAGCCAAAGAGGGGCACGCACCAACAATTCCATGGAAGAACGCATCCTGCGCCTGGGGAAATCTGTGCGCACTCCGGCGAGACCTTTGCGCATGTAACCACAAAATTCGTGCAGGCCACACCCCCGACGCGCAGCACTCGCTGGGCGTGGCCCTGAAGCAGCGAGTGGCGAGAGCGCAGCCAATCAGAGCGCTGCAGTGCAGCGACGAGTGAATGGGCCATGGAATGGCTGGAGATAAGGTGGCAGAGAGAGTTCGAATGTGTAAGTGTGTGTGTGTGTGTTTGTGTTGGTGCGTGTACGTGTGTGAGAAGATGATGAGGCACAGCAACAAAGGATGCTGCTGCATGAATGCTGCGGTGGAACCAGCCTCAGCCTCAGCCTCAGCCTCAGCGTCGGAATCAGCCTCAGCATCACAAATGGAAATTTCACACACACCACGTGCCGCGCATAAATTGGCCAACAATCGATGTAACTTTTGGCCACGGATGCTTCGTGTCCGCAAGATGGAAATGTCATCATATTTTCACTGGTCCTGCTACTTCCGGCGGCGTCCACGACACGATGTGTGTCTCGCTTAATTTGTTAGGCCCACCTTGCAGCCCGCGCCAGCGCCAGCTCCTGCACCAGCTAACGCTCCAGCAGTCCGAGTCCCGCTGCTGGCCTGTCGCTTTATTTTGTATTTTTTCCCAATATCTTCTCTCGTTTTTTTGCAGCTGCTCGTCCGGCATACGTATGCGACATCAGGGCACCGGGGACTTTGTTACAAGTACTTTACGGTAATGGAGGATTTTCGCTTGAGCATCTCTCTAACAAAAATTAATTTAAATCGATATGCTGCCGCAGGAGAACGTGGCTGCCACAGCCAGCAGCATCATGCCCCATGCCACTGGCGACTCCTGCAGCTGCTTGGACCGCAGTTCGTTCGAGCTGATGTCGTTCTTTTCTTTCTCCTCTTTTGCCTTCCTCTGAATTGTTGCCTTTTGCGCTTATTAATTAGTACAGCAATTTGCTTGGCTGCTGGAAGTTGATTGAACTACTACTAGATTTTGTTCCGATCGGTGGCTTCTGTACTCAAGCATTTGACTTGATGGGGATACGAGCTTTGTGGGTTTATTTTCACAGATTTTTTAGCTGGCTCTATGCAGGGCGTTGCTTCAGCTACAGAGCTGCCAATGTCAACAAGGACATGCTACGCACACTAATACAAACAAACGACGGAGACACTCATAGTCGGCAAAAGCCACTGAGCAGCTGGCACACTCATGTGTGTATGTGTGCGTATGTGTGGGTGTGTGTGCGTATAGTTTATTGACTGCTTGCGGGAAGTGCTTTTCGTAGAGATCTCTGCTAAAGAATGTAAGGCTGGCCAGCAAAGCCGTTCGCAAATCCTGAAAATTGACTTCGCTGGCAGGCGGGCAGGAAATCAATGCCGCCATTTTGCGAAAGAGTTGCCCACTTCGGCAAAGGAAATGGGCAGAGCGGGCGAGCTAAGAGGGAAACGAGGCAGAGGCCCCGGCCCTCGTCTCCAGCTCCAGCTCCAGACTCCCACTCCAACGTCGCGCACGTCTCATAAGGCATACAAAATTAGTTCAGAACGCAGCGACGCCATGGGATGGATGGGAAGAAATAGGGGCAACATTTGCAGGCAGCGACATCTTCGGCGCTCCCTACGCACCATCGTATTTCATTTCGTCATGTTTCGGGATTAGGCCGGATTAGTTGGCGACTGAGCAATGGCTCTGAACTTTGCAACGACTGCTGTGAACTTTTTGGTAGTTGCTTAAAAAGGGAAATGTGACAACAACAAGGGCGCGGACGTGAATGAGGATGCGAATGTGCATGTAGCTACATTTCTCTATGTGAGACCGTGTGTATGTGTATGAGTGTGTTTGTGTGCGTGTGTGTGTTTGCGTTAGGTGTAGATTTGTGGCACTTTTGGCCGCCTCCGAATGCTTTGCATATCAATTTTGTGTGCGCGTGCGACTTCACGAATGCTGAGCATTAAGTCTTGTTGTTCGGCCATCAAAGGATACAAGACTTTCAGACACTTGACAGATTACACTCAAAGAAATGCAATAAAAGCCAAGAAAAAGAAGCCAAAATTATAAAAGTGTTTTTTTTTTTTTTGTAATTTCTGAAAATACCTTCTCCTCGAATGTTGTACAACAGTTAGCCGTAGCGCACATAATTTACGGCACGTAGCCCTTATGTGGAGCTCCGCCATTTTGTTCGGAAACATTCCAATTACCCGATAACACACAACTATGTTAAAGCCCCTTTTTGCGCATTGGCCCGGTCCCGGCAGCTATCAAGCAGGCAAGTCGAAAGTCTAATTTTGTTTGGTTTCATTTTTTTTTCTCTCTCTTATAATTGAAATGTGCCTGGGTAAATCCCACAACGCTGCGCCCCAAAATAGATATCATGTCATCAATAGAAAAGTGGCCTCTGCCATTTGCTATTTGGCATTTGCCATTTGGCATTTGCCCTGCATCGGTTATTGATGATAAAAATGGGCTTTGGTTAGACCAAATTGTAGTCTGCGTCCTGCAGTGACGCAAATGTAATTACAGGACAACAGAACATCAAACCGAAATTCATTTAACCCTTTTGGTCGCAGGTTATCAACATAAAACAGAGCCACATTCACTGACAGGTGTTATTCACCGGGGGGTTTTCCGATCGAATGGGAAGTCATTTTCCATATCATTGCGTTCATAAATGGGTTATGATATTGCTAGAGTACTGACATACGCGAGTACTTCAGCCTCTGCCCTGGCACTAGACGCTACACCAAGTGCGCTGCTCGACCAAAACTAATCAAAAATAGTTTCGTTCTTTTATATAACTTCAAAGTGCATTTGCCGCCTGCCAACTCGACAAAGTCTGATTGCTGAAATGGACGATTTTTGGAGAGCGTTTACTTGTAGAGATTACAAAGTTGCACTTCCATCTATCTGGCTGTCAAAGCTCTAATCTAATAAAGTTACTCGAATGCTCTCTCAATACCTCGAATGTAACTTACCTATATTATCTAAAAGATATTTAAGCATAAATCAAATTGATTTGGTTCCGAGAGTAAGAGAGATAGAGAGAGAGAAATTGGGTTATTCAAGTAAAAGATTAATAACAATAAATAATATAATCTTCCCGCACTTCCGATTGACACTAAAAGAAAAACATTTTGTCTGGTTAGATCCGTCTGCTAATACCCCATTTCGAGTCACGCTGCATAAAAACCAAAAGAATAAGGAAAGCAAAAAAACAAACACTCCAAGAGGCAAATGCGAAATAAAAACCAAAATTATGAACTGCACAAAAGCTGTTGTGAATTTTAATAAATTTCGTTTGTTCCAAGCATTTTGGCAAAAAGTATCTGCCAACTGCGCCGGAGTGAGCAAATCAAACCGGGACCGGGAATCCGATGGGGGAAGGCGGAATGCGGAATGCGGAATGGATAGGGGTGGCAAAGTCAGGAGGAAGCACACAGATCCAGGCAGCGGGTATACGTCAAAAAGAACAGTTATTTATTTATTTGTGCACAATCGAGAGCACAACAAGAGCAAGGCAAAGGCAGGCTGGGCGGAGCGGGACGGGGCGGGGCGGGTGCGGACACAGAGCCAGAGTCGAGGGGCGCGCACAGTAGCGCCTCAAGCGACAAGAAGCAGAGCCAACAATGGCGGCTAACGGAGAATAATGGGATAACAAAACGCCCTTGACACCCAGTAAAAAGACAGCCAGCCCTCAAAAGTGTACGATAGAAGTAGCCTTATTATTATGAACATTGTGGAATCGGGCTAGGGCTAGAGCTAGGGCTCGGGCTCGGGCTCGGTCTCGGTCAGGGCACGTAGCAAACGGCAGCGGTAACGGTTTCGGTTGCCCTCAGCAGCGGGGGCGCTCCAACAGAAGCGGGCACAAAGGACCCACAAAGTACGAATACAAATCAAACCCTTGAGAGCGCCTCACAACAGCAGCCAAATAATAAACAGAAGCAGTTCCCAGCAGCTAGTATTGTTTGGATTGTGGACCGGAGCGGGGGGAGCTGGGGGCTTAAAGAGGGCGACAGCAGGCGGAGAGGTGCGCGCGCGCAGGGAGGCTGAAGCCGTGGCACACGCAGAAGCCAAAAGAGAAACGGCAACAGAACTGGAGCAATGGCGCTCTGTAAACATTTGTGCGAGCTGCTGCTGCTGCTGGGGTGAAGGCGAGAGAGAGAGCGAGAGAGAAAGAGAGACGGCGAGCAAGCGAACACGCGAGCATGAGCAAGGGCGACGCAGCGGTGGCAAGAGAGTGAGTGAGTGAGTGAATGAGTGTGTGAGTGTATGACTGTGCGTGTGTGTGTGTGTGCGTACGCGATAAACGGCCAGTGGCAACGGCATTTGGGGTGTGTCTTGGCTGCGTGCACAGTTCATTGGCTCTCGCTCACACCCGTCGGCTGCTATGGCACTCGCTACTCGCCGGCATGTGCGCGCTCTCTCGCACCCGCGTCGTAGTTGGGCCCGTGGACAGATAAGATACGGATAGCGTCAGGCCTGGCCATGTGAATGCGAGGCGTTCGCGTTGCGTGCGAGTTAGTTGGTAAAATCAAATTCCGCTATTCAGTTGCCGTTCGCCCGTCAGTCGTCGCCGCTGCTTAACGTTCGTTTGTCGTGACTCTGGCAGCTACTCGCTGAGTGCGCGCCGTACTCGCTGCTGTCGTGTGTTTGTGTGTGTGTGTGTGCGTTTACCGTTTGTTACCATCGCTGCAAGTTGCAGGCCAACAGGCGAGCTGCTCGACACCCAACCCACCCCCCAGCCCACAGCAACAACTGCCGCTGCCGTCACGCACTCGCTGCTTCTGCTGCTGCTGCCGCTGCCGTCGCTGCGACATATCCAACAGATACTTTTGCGTGTGCTTTCGAATTCGTTTTCAATTCAGCCACGTCCTGTTACGGGTGCAGACGCGTTGTGTTTCCGTTTTGTGTGTGCTTCCGTGCCAGCCAATCAAACATTTGAGCTACTCCATATACTTACCCTAATTACGCGCTGGATTAAATTATTAAAACACTAAAGCCGACGCGGATTTAGAATCAACAGCCGAATATACCGACCACCGGCCACAGCCACGACACCGCCTGATTATTTCTCTCTGTGCGTGTGTGTGTGTGCTAAAAAGCACCGCAATTGCGTTTGGTGTGTGCGTGTGTGTCTACGTATCTGTGTGTACATGTGTATATGTGTGTGTTGTTGTCTGTGAGGCTATAACAGCAACGAGCTGGCATCAAAGTCGCATTAAAAACATATCCATGAGTTACTTAAAATTAATCACTAACATAATCACTGTGATTTTTATTTGAACCTGAGCTGCCGTCTCGCTCACACGCGTGTGTAACAACATCAACAACAACACCAACAACAATAACAAACGATGCCAAATTGTGTGCAAACTATAAAAAGCGCTTTAAATGTTTTAGCTCTTGATTAGCCATCGAAAGTCATCGAAAATATAAACACAACACACAAATCTGTTGCAATCACAGCAACAACAGCAACAACAACGACAACAACAACAACAACAACAATAGCAACAATAATAATAAAAGCGCAGAGAAATTTTGGTATCTCATTTATCAATAAATTCCCGACAGTTTCTCAAAGATTCCAAAAGATTTATAGCCGACGCAACCCACGCGACAGTTCGTTCCCGTTCATAGGGAATTTTCTTGATTTTCGCGTCAGTCAACTAATGAAATTCAAATGAAAGCAATTTGATTTATTGCAAAGTGCACAACATTTGGCCCACATTCATTCAAGTGCTAAACTCTAAACTAACAAACCAAACAAAGACGAAAGTTCAAACCCAAATCGTAATCGAAATCGTATTCGGAACAGTGGATCATTTCCAGCAGTCAAATCGACGGCGCTAGCAAGTGGATTAACTTGAATTCCTTTCTACATAACGAGAGGTGAGCTATTCTCGAAAAAGTCAACCAATAAAACAAATATTATACTTTATGATTGGATCTTATAAATAGATAAAAGAGATTTTTCATAAAGCACAGAGAGATGATGTTTATGTCTATTTAAGATATTTATTGCGAGATTACTTGAATAATTTCTTTAAAAATATGATTTCGAATGAATCCAATATAATAATTCTATAATTCTATTACTATAAAATATATATACTATATTCAGTATTTTTTCAAGAATCTAAAATGTATGTTAATGATAGAGAAATTCTGTACAGAAATTGTAAACAATTCTTAACACTGTTTGATCATTCATAGAGAGGCAAAGGCCCTGACTGCTTGATAAAATAACAATGCCAAAAGCTCCCGAAAATAAACCTAAGTCCTAAAGCCGGTTATAAGAAAACTTGTTGGACTAGAGCTTAGTGAGCTGCACTCTCACGCCAAGCATAAATCAACTCATAATTGTCAGACAGTGCAACCATAAACTGTCTCACATTCACTCTGTAAGGGGGCCTGGGCACTGAAACTGTGAGCTAAGACGCTAACTGCCATTGACGTCACTTGAACAATTAAATGCGAATTTGTTATTATAATTTCGCTTTTTTTTTTTTTTATTATTATTATTTTGTCTATTTGAATTTCGTTTGGTATGGAAAAACCCGAAGTGTACAAACAGAGATATTCAAAGAGGGAGCCGTGTTGAAATTAAATTGAAATACATTTATATAATTAAATAGAAATGCCCTTGGCAGAGCACAGAATATAGAATCTTGGCACCTACGGCTATAACTATTTGCTATTTGCTCTGCCAGCGACCGATAACAAAACCGGTGCAGAGGGCAGCTGAACCGCTGCCGCATAGAAGCTGCGGCAGTCGGCGGTGCCGCGAGGCGAAGAAGCGACAAAGAGTGGGGAGAGCAGCGCCAAAAGCTGCGGCAATAAAGTGGCATAAAATAATTTCGGGCATTCTGTTGCCTTAGAAAATCATTATGTAAATAAATTCTCACTTCTGAAATAAAATGACTTGACAAAAAGGAAAATTAAACAAAATATATTCCACACAAAAAAAAATGAAGAAAAAGCAAACAGAAAATAATATTTATATGCAGTGCGGCATATAAATATGCCACAAATGATGCCGCACGAATTGACAACAATTTTTCAATGGCCCCGCCTCATGACAACAATGCCAAATGCAAAACTTTTCATCTCCAGCGACACGTCAAACAAAACAACAAAAACAAATCAAATCAAAAAAAAAAAAAAAAAAATTAAGGCAAAAATTGCGTGTGGCCATAAATAAGCAAAGCGCTGTGGCACATGGCTATATAAATCTGTTTAATGTGAAATTATGTTTATTATTGTTATTAAAACAACCGCAAGGCAATTTAATATTACAGCCGCACTAATCCACTGGGGATCAAGTGCAGATCAAGCGGCATTATCAAGTATAAATTTTCAATTTGAGGCAAAACTGAAATCGAAATCGAAAGTGACAAATCAAATTGAAATTTAATAAATTTGTTCGAAAAGAACAAAAAAAAAATTGAAAGAACATTCAGCATAATTTAAGGCAGGCGCTGACAAATAAATATGGCAAATAAATATTTGATTACATTAGATGTCTCCTGTGTCATGGAGATTTACGACTGGAAAGTTAAGAATTCTGTTTAATGTTTCATATATAATTTTTTTTATTTTTTATTTCGCTGCTGCCGTATAATTTATGAAATTTTTTACAACTATTTAGTTTATTTTTCTTTCTATTTCTTCTCGTTTTTTTTTTTCTTCTTTTTTTTAATGCTTTTATTTTTGTTATGATTGAGATTAGATAAGAATTTATTGCAACGCGCGCTTTGTTTGGCTTCGTTGATAGCGCAGAAATGTGCCAGCCGCGATCAGAATTGAGCGAAACGCGAATCGTGAATCGTGAATCGAGTCTACCTGGGGCCAACTAGTTTACCGGGAATAGTTCCAGTAATTGGCCACAACTAATTGATTTACGAACATTTCTGTCTATTTTTATACCGCTGTCAGTGATTCGCTGCTGTTTCTTTTTTTTTTTTTAAGTTTCTTATTTATTCAAAAAGAATTTTTTAGGAGCTACGTCTCAGTTTATAGCCCACCCGCCTCGGTTGCCAAATTCAACACGGCGTCTGTGCGGCTGCAGCAGTAATAAAAATAAAAAACACAAAGCGAAAGAAAAAATTCACAGAAATGTAAATATTGTTACATTGATAAGCAGCAGCTTGTTATCTTTGCAAGCTCTCCGCCGCTCCCGCTCTCCTCTGATAAGAACGTGTAGGTGTAGGAATCTCTGCCGTCCATGTAGTGGCCCGCGTTGTCAACTTAGATCGCAGACGTCTCGGTGAGCGCGGCAGGCGCGGCACCCGCCACTGGGAAACCACAACGATTTACGATTGCCCCAACGCCACATCGCATGGTCCGGGCCACAGCCAGTCGCTTGGTTACAGGGCACAGCATCGGGAACGGCATGGGCATCGACATCGGCAGCTCTAGGCTGAGATGTTGGCGGTGCTGATGTGGTATTAACCCCTTGACGTCTTTGGTGTTAAGTTGCCGTTGCCTGGTGTTTGGGTTAAGCTCACTGTTTGCCTCGATGTGATAAAAAAACAGAAAGCGCTTTGCCAGGTAGCCGTAGCCCAAGATACAGGCACAACTACATATATAGATGTAAATATAGATACAGATACAGAGACAGAGGCAGAAGCAGATATAGATACATAAAGATAGAGCTGGAGCGAAAGTAATTGCGATAATGAATACAATTAAAATAAATTGAATGCCAGCCAGCTAACACTTGTTGTATTGTGGTCTTTTGTGATTGCAGCATCGCAGCGCGCTTCGCAGCCGCCGCAGAGCTCAGGAACAGCTGCAATTTGGATCTGCTTTCGCCACAGTTGGAAGATACCGGCCTCAAGACGACGACATTCTTGCAACACTTTAAGGACGTCGTCACGACGAAGTTCAACGGCAGGGATCATCATTTGCCGCCACTGCATCCCGCGCATCCAGCGCACCAGCAGTCCGCGCTGCATCATCACCATCAGCCGCACCAGGCTGTCGCCCAGAGCTTTTCCACCATTTTTCCGACATATTTAGGCATGGACCGCGCCGGTGCCGGCGGCTGTGGTGCTGCTGGCGGCGGCCTGGGCGTCGTCACCAGCTCGGCCACCGCCCTCGGCCCGGGCGGCATTGCGGGCGGCGGCGGTGGCGGCGGCCTGGTCAGCGGTGCGCTCAACGGCCTGGAGGCCATGTCCGCCGAATCGACTGGCCTCTGCCTGCAGGACTTGGTCAGCGCGGGCACCGCCAATGGCGCCGGCTCGGCGGGCTCGGCGGAGAGCGCCACCACCACAAGCACAGCGCTGAGCAGTGGCAGCTCCACGGTCAACGGTGGCGGCAGCAGCGCCTCCGGCGCCGAGCATCTGCACAGCCATCACAGTCTCCACGACTCCAGCTCCTCGGTCAGCATCTCACCCGCCATCTCGAGCCTGATGCCCATCAGCAGTCTCAGTCACTTGCATCACACGGCCGCCGGTCAGGATCTGGTCGGCAGCTATCCGCAGCATCCGCATCATGCCGTTGTGCCGCCGCACACACCGAAGCACGAGCCGCTCGAGAAACTCAGAAGTAAGTACCGAATAGATGCGATCCCCATCATTTTGCTACAGTTTATGGGGCCAGCTGGGCAGGGCCTCGCCGCCCCATGTCAATTTCTTGGACAATTTGTTCTTCAATTTATTTGTCGGAAAATTGGGGGACTAGTCAACCGCTCGCTGAGCATCTAACAAATTTTCAAGTAATTAATGCGGCCATATTTCACACAGCGTCGCAGTTATGCGGTGCGTATGCGTGATATTCTCGATGAAGCTTCAAATGTATATATAAATATACATACGCCTATGCATGTGTGGCTATGTGTGGATGTGTGGGTGTTTGTGTATGTGTGTGTGTGTGAGTGCTGCATATTGTTGGTCGCATCTTCAACAAGTGTCACCATTCACATACTCGTATTCATTGCGTACTTTTGCAACTGTCAGCAACAGCTGTCGGCATTTCAATATTCATCCGCTATGGCAATCATTCACGCTCTCAATACTCTTGTACTTCATCATTCATGCGATGCTCGTAAATTTCTAAACAATGTGCAAAAATTCCTGCTGGCCACTTGTCGACTCCAACCAACCTCTGCCACAGCGCCGCTGTAATTCTGTGACAACATCCACGCCTCATGCATATTCATAATCATTGTGTAATCATTAGCGCATAATCTTCATAAAAGCGTAACAAAGGCGAACGACAACAACAAAATGCATGAAAAAATGGGAAATAATATGGAAGAAGAAGAAGAGCTAAACAAATTTCACTTTTGCTGCGCATGTCACGGCTAATTGAGCACCCTTCTGGCGTAGTGCCGAAGGCAACACTGTTCCCATTTCCCATTCCCATTCCCATTCTCGTTCCCAATTCCATTTGTCTGTTCGTTCTATGATGCTGCGAAGTCAGCTTCGAGGGTCGTTCGATGGCTGGAAATTTGATATGTGTATTGTAGTCAAGTGTTTGTTGTTCCGTTTAGGCTAATTGTTATGGGAGTTTGGAAGCGGAAAGACATGCAATATGTTGCTTAGGTGAATGCTTCAGATGATCTCTCAATTGCATTGAATAAGTAACGAGATTGAGTTTGAGAAGTGTTTTAATATTACAGAAACTAATAAGCTGAATAAGTTTATTAAATGTAAAATATTAACCTTTAACTAGGTAAAATCTTAATCTTGGTTTAATTAGGCATCTCAGTTCCGCATTTAAAAGATATCTCTGATCTACAACTGACTTTCAAATACCAATACTCAAATTTTTCTAGTTAAAATATTAATTATTATACGAGGCTTAATTTCTATTTCTTATAACATATCAGATAATAATGAAATAATATCCAAATTATTCTGAACAATTTATTAGCTTCAATCAAACTGAACTAAATGTTCCTTATTGATCAATATATTAGTAATATAAAGACTTAAATCTAATCAAAAGTGTATCGTAAATGTTGATCTATGTACATGCATATATGCATTCCATTTCTTTAATCCAAAACTACCTCAGAGAGTTTTTCCCTTTCGGCATGGCATCTATGAATGCAACGAATTTGTTTAAGCATCGCATAAGAATTTGTCTGACTTAGCCGAGAGATTTGTTAGCTGTCCCCTTTGAACCGTTGCCCTAAGCACCTGCCTCTGCCGGGTTAACAGCCTCGCAAACTTTGCACTCTGCAGCTAACCAGTAGTACAGTGGGCGGGGCACATGGCGGTTGGCATTGCGGTCGCAGCTGCCTGGCCATTTATTTGCGTGCCAAAACAATTTAACACAAAAATTGTGCGCATTTAAAATATGCACGAGTGCAGTTATCCTTTGACATGCACACCAGGACACACACAGAGAGAGAGAGAGAGAGAGAGAGACACACAGACAGTTGGAGCTGCAGGTGCGGACGATGTTGGCAACAAATTTCAGTCTGTTGCTATTGTTGTTGTCGTTATTGTTTACGCTCTTGTTTAAATAATGGTCGGACAACGTGCCCGCTGCCTGCTGGACCGTTGCACACTGCAATTGCCATTGGATTTTCAATTATTGGCCAATTTAATGGTTAGCTCTGCTTGCCACACCTCTTCGTCTTCCTCCACAGCCACCTACACAGACATTTTTTTTTTTAACTTAAGTTCCATTTGCGCAAGTATTTCTATGTGTGTGCAAGCGTTTGTATTTGTTTTGCTTTTATTATTGCAGTTTTTTATGAGCCCAGCAGACACGCACACACACACAGTCAGTCGCACCTTTTGAATTCGTTTTAGTTGCTTGTTTTTCTATATCATATTTTAAATATATTTTTATGGCTTCTGTGCGTGTTTTTATTTGAAATTTTGCGCTCAAAGGATTTCAAGTTCACGTACAGTAATTTCTACCCCAAGTTTTATACACTTTTATTATTATTATTGTATATGTGTGTATGCGAGATGCAGCGTGTAAAACAATAAAAAGTTAATGCTTTTTAATACCCCGGACTACAACTCTTTAATGTCGCTGCTGAACGACTGGCAGCTGGCCATGTTTGTCTAGCGAGCTGAATTATGTTGTCAACAGCTGCCAGCGCGAATGCTCAAGAGCTTTGGCTCTATATCTCTCACTACCTCTCTCTCTGCTAACTAGAGCCGATTGGGCTCATTTTTTATGAAATGGGACCCGAATCGCATCATGATCCTGCGACCTTGCTCGCTCACTTCCAACGGCAATTAGACACTTATCTGGTCACAAATATCACCAACAAAAAATAAACCAAATTAAATGAGCTCTACTTATTTGAGCAGAGCAAAGACAAAGAAAGCACACACAACAAACCAAAATCAGAGCAGTTTACATTTTGGCTGCTATGCAAATAGTACAACATTAAACTACACCTTTATTGTTGTTGTTGTTTATTGTTTATTATTACGAGCGAGTCTCAGTTCGAGTCCGAGTCCTTTGCGTGTTTGCCAAGTTGTTACAGAAACATAGATATGGTAGAGCTAGCTAGTATTTGCCTACGACAATGTTTGCCGTTTGTAGCCCTTGATAAAATATGAAATTGCCGGCTGTATCTAAGTGTAGCTCTAGCTATGCTTCTATCTGTATCTGTATCTGTATCTCTAACTGTGGCTCAGAGTGCGAGAATTTTCTGCTCGACTTTTCTGATGAAATCTTGTTATCTAATGTGCCTGCTGTTCATATATGCATGTATATTGTAGCATACATGCACACATACACACACACAGAGCATTTCACTTAAGTCTGTGTTGTTGTTTTAATGGTTGTTTATTTGGCCAGTGCCTGGCATAAAGTGTTAATGGCACGTGCAGCTCCAGATTCGGCATTGCGCCTACAAACATAAGCAAGCCGTCTCCGAGTTTATTCAAGGCTTTTATAAATTGCAGTCGAAATAGAAGTCTTTAATGTGAGAGTGATTCGAAAGGTAGATTTAGATATTTAGAAACTATTCTGAAAGAAAATATCAGCTGGGCAAGTATACAAAATATATCTATAAGTATAGCGGGAAAATTTTTAATGTAGAGCAGAATATTTAAACTATAAAATGTGGTTTGCAACATGGCTCAAAGTTTTACCCACCTCAATCAGTCTACAGAGGGAAATATTAAAGGATGAGATTCCCATATACACAAATATTAAAATGTGTATCAAAAAATCGTAGCATAAACCATAGCTTTAGAGTAATGTTAAAGATATTCTAGGAAACCATTTTTGTCACCTATCCACCCATAAAGTTCACGGCTTCATTTATAAAGAGCCCAATAATGGAGCTAAGCTGAAATGTCTGCGAGTGCGACAGAGCGCATATGCGAGGCGGCTACAGATACAGATACAGATACATAACTTCAGTTGGCTCAAGGATGTGCGGCCTGTGGTGCTACTTTAAATTCAACGTGTGGCATGTGGCATGTGGCATGTCTCAAAATTTCTTTATGAATATAAATACGTTTTATCGATTTTTTTTTTTACTCGCCAGCCATTTTGTAATTTGTATCTTTAAGGCTGTGGCGGCTGTTGCTGCTGCTGTTGCTGCTGGCACTTTAAGCAATTTTCATCATCAGTGCATTTCCTCGGGCAAATCTCTGGAAAATTGCGCACATATGTCAGAGAACTCAATTGGCAAGGCAAAAACAAAGATCGCTGTGCAATTGCCAAGCAAACACCCCATAAATTGTGGACGACCGCACCAATGATAATCACCCATTGGTGACGCCCACTTCTAGTTTTTGCCAGCTCCAGCTGGAGTGCTGCGAGCAGTAAGGACAGGACAGCAAAAACTGCCCATATATCAATCCTGGCGCACAGACCTAGACATGTGGCTGCTCTGTCTTACTGTCTCTCTCTCTCTCTCTCTCTCTCTGTCTCTCTCTCTGTCTCTCGCTCTCTCTTTGTCAGATGGCACTGATTTCGTTTATATAAATTATAATGTCATTATGGCAACGAAGCAACTCCCCCACTTGGCTTGGCTGTGTCCGCCCCCCCTCTTGCATCTCCGGCGATAGCCACAACTCGACCACGAGCGCAATTACGGCGCAGCTCACTGGAAAACTTCGCTGCGAAAGTTTGGGTTACGATTACGGGCTCTCTTTGGTACTCCACAGCCGCCTCTTTCTCATTATCCGTATCGTGCAATTTCGTAAAAATGTCGCATTAGAGATTATCTGAGGCAACAAACTTGCACGGACTGGCCAGGCAATGCCCAGACTTCTGGCTGGGCGAACGGGCAAACAGTCGGGCAGATGGGCAGCTGGGCAAATGACCGAACGGCATCAACGGGAGCCAAAATTTGAGCTGACAGTCGAGAAAATTACGGAAAAAGGCATTGCAGTGGAAAACTACAACGGAACTCGAGGCCAGCATAGTGAAGCGGAGCAACGACAGTTGCTATTGGGGTCTGCATGTCTTATCCTTATCTGCAGGACGTCGGCTAATGAGCTCGCCGGACTGCTCGACTGCTCGACTGCCCGACTGCCTGACTAGCTGACTGGCTGACTGGTTTTGGCTGGCATGTCTGGCCGGGATTCGTTGGGCTTGGACTTTGGGGCCATGTCAATGATATTGCAGTGATTTTTATGTGTGTGTGTGTGTGTGTGTGTGTGAGTGTGCGCTCCAGCCAAGTCCGGCCAAGCTCATTATATGGCCATAACGTATGTCCTTCCCGTCCCACGCTCCCCCCACGTACGGCCATTGTCATTGTCTGGCTTGCACAAAAGCAACTATAAAGGATTAACTTTGTGGATTGTTGTGATACACCCGTGCTTGGCCTCAGGCTCGTAGAAAAATTAAGTTTTACCCCTCGAACTTAATTTTTACAGCATTTTCGGCTAATTTCGAATGGGGGACTCTCACATTTCGATCTCAGTGACATCTCGGCGCACAGAAGACAATATGAACATATGGCCCGCAAGAAACTGTCGCATATTAACACTTTCTGTGTTTGCCCCGAGCAAATGTAGCATGAAATTGGAAAAATATATAGATATATATTTATACACATATATATGTTTATATCTGGTATATTTATGTGGCGAACAACCGCAGCGTTTAACCCTTTTCTAACCTCCCTGCAGCCGAGTGGTTTAATTTTGGGAGAACAATGAAAGCAACTAACTTGTCAAAACAGAAGCCGAAGCAGCAGCAAACCGTAGGAAAAAAGGGACCAATGCTCTGACCAAAGGATTCCAATTCCGATTACTGCTTAGAGCTGTATCTGTGTTTGCTATAAATGCATATATATATATATATGTGTGTGTGTGTGTGTGTTTGCTTGCGCATCCCAATTCAACTGTCACATTAATCGTTTGTTTTTGGTCACAAAATGCTACAAGTAAACGTTGGCATTTTTCTTCCTCTTTCTTTTTTTGTTTTTTTTTTAGTTTCGTTGGGTTGTGCTTGGTGTCAAAGGACGCGCTCTCGGGGCGTACGTTTTGTCCAGCTTCCCATATATAGAAATGTATACGGCCGGGCCAGGGCTGGTTGCCTTTTGTGTGCACGATTGTTTGTTTGTTTTGGTCTTGGTTTGGGTCCTCCGCATCCTGCGCCTGGGCTGTGACAGTGCTCGGGCTGGATAATTTATAGCTGCCTGGCTCGCTCTGGCGACGGCTGCCTTGCCGTGTCGTGTGTCAAAGTTTTTGTGGAAACGGGTGTGTGGAAAATGTTTATGAATGAATGCGACAAATGGCCAAATGTGCAGGATAGAAAAATCAAAATCATTGCTTAGGCAAACATTTATTTCTCGTTTTTCTGCACGATCATATTTGCGGCATGATTAATAGTTGCGCCCTCTGCTAGGGGTGTGTATTGACTTTTGTATTGCCATTATTTTTAGGGCTTGGCCCAGCAATTCGCTCATTTGTTTGCTTAAACGCCTCTGCAAAATGGCCGACAATAATAATATGGCTAAAGACACTGACACTGACGCCGAGACTAAGGCTGACACTTGTTGTCACAGCGCACCACTGTTGACATGGCTAAAATGTTCAGGCAACGCCCACCAGGCAGGCACACTTGCTTAGCTATTCCTATTGACACTTGCCACTCACAGATGCCGCGAACCTTGAAAAACATTGTAAATTCTCGCAACAACTGCGCCAACAAAATGTCAACGCCAACTGACAGACGACAACTATTTCCATTTGAGATGAAAAGACAGAATATATAAAAACAAAAATCTGAATTCAAATTAGTCGGAAAATTAGGAAAATTTGTACGAAATATTTAAACAAATAAAAATCGCTGCGGTACGTGCTTTTCTCTGCGTTTTTTAGAGCGCATCGTTAAGAAAATATTTTTATATTTCCCATCCAGTGGAGAGGCTAGGGGGCGTACGGCACAGATGACGTTGGCGACCCATTTCACGGCACATGCTCAGGTTGAAATCGGGCACAACAAGAACAAGAGCCAAATAGAACAACAACAATACTACAACAGCGGCTATTAAGAAGCATTTCGGTATTTAAGGGGCGATCGGATCATTAAAAAACTTGCTACAAAAAAAACAACGACTGCATATGATACAGACATTGAGTAATCAGGAAATATATAGTTCCAAAATAAATATATACATACATATACTTCAGTCTATGAGATGTTTTATATTTAGCAGTCTGTGAACTTGAGATTGTAGAGGACTTGAAAACCAGTCTCCAAATTTAAGTGATTGTGCAGTAAAAGATATTTCATAAAAAGAGTTTTAAGTAGGCGTAGACGTATATACCCTTTGAAGATCTTAATTCTTCCGAAAATGTCATACTGAATGTTTTGATTTAAGTAAAACTGTAATCCCTCTATTATTCTTAATAAAATATAGCGAATAATAGAAATAATCTGCTTATCACTGCATGCTCGCAAGGGAATACAATTCAAATCCCAGCCATGATTTGCTAAAAATATAAATTAATTGAAAGACAAACACATTATGGATAACTGAATGTCTGCCCTATAGTGTGCGATTGTGAAGAGCATAAATTAAAGAAAATACCAAGTAATTAATTGAGCTGCACACACTTGCCGAATTGAGAGAGATAGAGATAGAGAGAGAGAGTAGAGCCCTTAGGATCCGGAACATTAATGTTACCCCCAAGTACTCTCCGGGTTTCACACCAGCCTCGAGCTAATTGTTTCACAAAAATGTCGCAGCGGGTGTTTGCAGTCAGTCAGGCAGCCTGGCAGGCTCTTTAAAAACCACATAAAACTGACAACATGTGAAAAGGCCATAAATTAGGCAACGAGCTGCCGAAGGAAGTCCATAAGATTTAGTTGGCGATGGCCAGGAAGTCGGGACCTCGGCCATATGGGCACACACCTCAAGGTGCGCAGACCCCAAAAACCGAATATCAATTGTCTGGCCATAAATCTGCATTTCGGTGAAGATGTCAAAGGCTGACTAATTAATATGAAATTCAGCGTGACTAACTGCAATAATTACAGCAATTATGTATTATAGGGTAGCCCGCTAGCACGGCTCATTTGAGTTCGATTTATGAAGCAAGACTCGCCTTAATAGCTTTATCCCGCTCTTATGCAAACATACATATATAACGGGCAAAGGAGGCCCTGTGGCCTTAAGTTTTCATAATGCTCGCTCCTTGGAGCAATTAACTAACGCACAAAGTCCTGGCTCTCAGCCGAGAAGACCAGACACTCGGGCACTTAATCGAGCTAACCAAAAGCCCATTTAAAACTGTTCCACTGCCGGCCGGGCCATAAATCCCTTTATGGCGCTTTCAGGAGGCACATCTTGTGCGAAACACTATTCCCTTGAATGCCTTTAAACCGTTATGTTAAAACATTAATTTTTTGTATATTTCTGTGCCCTTTGCTGGTTTATTCTTTTCAGTTTGGGCCGAAACCGGTGATTTTCGTGATAGTCATAGCTCCATGACCGCCGTAGCAAATAGTTTGGATAGCACACACCTAAATAACTTTCAAACTTCGTCATCGTCAAGCCTAGCGAATCGAAGTCGGGATCGCAAAGATGGTAAGTAGACAGCAATTGATTAAGACAATCTATGCGATATGAGAAGTTTTATGAGCTTATATAAGCAATTCAACAATCCTCCAATCTCCACCAGACTTTAGCTAGAGCACCTGGACTCCGAACTTTTCAATAGCTATTGAACGAGAGAGATTAGTCAGATTATCAATTTTAACTCAGATCACTAAAATTAGATTCGGTGAGCAATCTCTCGTGCTAATCGTATGACGCTCGGCCGAACTACCCGTGGAACTGTGGAGTGACTGCGCCGAGTGACTGCTTATTGATTTTATACGTGCGAGTGTTAATCGATAAGAAACATAATTTATAATAATTTTCGAAAGCATGGCCAATGGGTGGCACGTTATAATTGTGATTGGGGCGGTGGATAGGAGCTGCGACAGGGGCTGGGGGAGTTGGGGTGTGCTGGTTGAGTTGATTCTTGGCCTTTGTCGGCGAAAATTTACTCACTCGCGTCCGTTTAGTTTTCGATTAGACTGCATTGATTTGCGACTTGATGACGACGTTGTCGAGCCACCGAAACTGATATTTCATATGAGCAGTCATTTAGTTTATTTGCTTAAGTTTCGGTGCTCGGCAGCGACAACAACAACAACAACAACAGCAATAGCAACAATAGCGACAACAAAGGGAGAGCATACCGCCATGATCGATGACATGCTCGGAACACACATTAACGGGTTGTAAATCTGGTAGCAGCCCAAAACTAGGCTAGCTTTGCCGGCGGCCCCCGTTTGAAGTGACTGGCGCACGGCGCGAAAGTGGAAGTGGGCTGTGAAGAGGGCTAGCTGGAGTTGGCATTGGAGTTGCAGTTGGGGTGTGCTCGATTGGGGGCTTGGCGTCACTTAAAGGTTGCATGGCAATTAGTAACGGCAGCGAGACGCACTTCAAAAACTAACTGACTTCTAGATATACTAGATATAGTTATTCATGCAAATATTTCTTTTTATAGGCAATCGCAGCGTCAATGAGACCACAATTAAAACGGAGAACATATCAAATTCTGGACACGATGAGCCGATGACAACCAGCGCCGATGAGCCAAAGAACGATAAGAAGAACAAACGGCAGCGGCGACAGCGCACCCATTTCACCTCCCAGCAGCTGCAGGAGCTGGAGCATACGTTCAGCCGTAACCGCTATCCGGACATGTCGACGCGCGAGGAGATCGCCATGTGGACCAATCTAACCGAGGCCAGAGTTCGGGTGAGTAATTCAATTCCCATTTCATATTAATTGCACAATCAAAGCCGCAAATTGTAAACAGCAATTGTGTGTGTGTGTGTGTGTGTGTATTGTGCAATTATGCGGCAATTACTGCGGCGGCAACAGCGACTGAGCCAAAATGACCGCAATGCAACCGCAGCACGTAGCTGCCGCCAATACACAAACAAAATGCCAGCGCCAGCTCGTAAATATGCTCCTGCCCCAACACAGACACACACACATATGCGCTCCCCCCCCTCTCTCTCTCTCTTTCTCTCTCTCTCTCTCTTTCTCTTGCCGTTTGAATTCGCGCGGCTTAAACGCTCACTGGCCAAAAAAGCCGTCGCCATTTTGCGCTCCGTTGCTGCAGTAAATTTATGTTGCATCCACAGTCAAGTGGGTTGGGTGGTGCGCTGTGTGTTTGGGCTTAGCCATTGCAGTGCCACGGTGGGCAGTGGCCGTGGCGCAAAGTTGCCATAAATTGCCGCCTCGATTGCGGCTAAAACTTTGGCGCAGTTTGCAACAGCCGGCGCAGTCGAAACAGGGCAATATTTTTATGGCCCGCTCGCTGTGTAAACTGGGCCGAGAGCGCGTGGCTTATCAAAATGCCACCGCCGCTATTTGAACATGCCACGCCAATAGCCCAACAGCTATTGACAGCCTCAAGCATTTGTATGACCAAAGCAACTCAAGATAGGCAGGGGAGAGAGAGAGAGAGAGAGAGCGGGAGAGCGAGAGGAAGAAAGCAACACGCGCACAACAGTTGTAATTGTTTGTAAACGATAGTTGGTAAACAATCGGAGGAGTTGTATCCACATAAGTGGCGCCAAGCGGCAAATATGCGTAGCCAACACATATGTACATATAGCCGACCGATAACTATATTATATCTATATAGATATCAATTCGCTGTGCCAGTCTGTCAGTTAGTCAGTCAGCCAAGACAGCGACTGCGACAGCGACACGACAGAGATACACTTTAGATATGATTATGGGGACAGCGCCTCGACTTGCCCCGGATTGATCGATCACGCTGATGATCATCATCGGCTGTATTGATGGGCCCAGGCGACGCACGTACTATTTCATACATACATACATATATGAAATGCAATTAGCTGACATATATAAAACACATCTGGCAGCTACTGAACGAGTACAAAAACTGTTGACAAATCGCTGGCACCAATAGAACAAATTATATTTCATGGTTTTTCTATGCAAATTTCACTGCTACCATTGGGCATATGTCGGAAATTTGGTATAGCATAGCACTTGAGCGCGGGCCACTATAAAGAAATTAGCTGCGGCGGCCCGGAAACAAGTGTCTGACACCAGGAAGGGCAGGCAGCCCTGCCCGGCTGGAGTCGGGAAATTATGTCAATCTAAACATGTGTTGCGCTCAATGCATAAAATATTGATACAGTTTGTTTTATGGTCCATTATATGATGACAAAAGGTTTGCTGATGGCGCAGGGGCTGGGGGCAACTGCAACCCTCCCAGCAGCGAGCAGTGAGCAGCCAACACCCCAACCACGCGATAAAATGCAAAACAATGCGAGGCAATTTGTCAGCAGCTTTGGATGAGTTTCTGTGTGGCAGCGAGGGTTGTTTAATGAATTAGAAACCGCATGAGAATTAATGATCATGATCGTGCTGCTGTCTCTGCGAGGGGCTGGGCGGGGTGGGGGGTTGGTAAAAGGCAAAATAACATTTGACTGCAATAATAGCGTAGGCAATAAAATTTATCAAATATACAAAAGGATTACAGCTCGCTCGACGCGCATACATATACCTATGCACATACATATATATATATATAAATCTGGGTGGGTTTAAAATTGTCAAAAAAAAGAGAGAGAAACAGAAACGAGAAAAGTGGAAAAGAGCAGCAGCGTCTGGGCAAACAAAGCAGACGCTGCCACTGAGCTGAGCTGGGCAGGAAATGTGACTGCTTCTTGGACGGACATCCCTGATAGCTACTAATCTGAGGATTTACATGCGCCGGCAATTATGGCAATATGTTCGCTTGCCTGCCGGAGGTTGACTTTTTCTATTTTTTAAAGCATTACCGAGACACAAATGCATTTCATTCAATTAACAGTCGCAACAGACTCGCACCAGCATTTGTTGAGCACCCAATGGGGCAGAGTAGAGAAATTGCAATTGAAATCAGAGCACGAACTGCTCCCTTTTGGTTTTTTTTATTATGGTCAGGTGTTGGCAATGGCCTGGAAACAAACAAACATTTGGCTGTCTATAGAAAAGCCATTGCAGTGGCCGCATAAAAAGAAATGGCCATAAAGGCGCCACAATATGGGCAGTTAGGAGTTCGAACGGGAACAAAACCGAATTGAGTTCTAATTGATTCTGCAAAGAAAAATAACTTGAATGAAGACTTTTATTTTAAATAAAATAAACTTAAGATCCACAAGCGTATCAACAGGCTGTAAAAGCAGCTCTATAAAAACATCTTGATTAGTTAAGTCGAAAAGGAACTCATAATCCGAAGCTCTTTACGCTTTAAGTATGTTTAGGCTGCGGGGATTACAATGCTTTAAATCTTGATAAAGCTGTTAACTCTTTATTCATATTTAAACATTGCATTTATCATATTATCTTGATTTAATTTTATCTAGAGAGCTGCTTAGTAATTATCTGCTGAGAGGCTAAGCAGGCAATCAACGGCGTTACGCCCTTTGAGTCTCGTAAGGCTTATCAATATTGTTTGCAATCAAAATTTTCACTTCAATTTCAATTTCAATTTCATGCTGTCCAAGCGCTGCCCCGTTAGTGTGAGGGTCCACTTGGACGACAAAGGCAACGGCGATGGCAATGGCAACGGCAGCACCAACAACAAGAATTAAGCAAATAAAAAACGTATTTAGCTGCAATTTGTGGCCATCAATCAAAATGGCAGCTCTTCACTCAAAGAAAAGACCCCTAGCTAAAAAAAAAAAAGGGCCACCTCAGTTCCATAACTTTTGCCACATGGTCACATTGGCTGTGCGAGTGTACCAAAAAAAAAAGACTGTCTACTTTTTGTTTTTTAACAACTTTACCTGATGAAGCGCAGCACAGCACATAGGCGAGACGCTGAACGGCGCAGGGGAGCGCCGCGGTAGGAGGTGTCATTGATGCTTTCATCAAAACCAATTAGGATTTTCTGCTTGAGTCAGCGGGCGCATGGATGCTGGCTGAAGTGTCTGCCCGTTGAGTGGAAAATTGCGCTGGTTATTCACACACACACACGCACACATATCAATATGTATTTTTTGTTACTTTTTTTTCGTAGCCTCTCTCTCTTTCTGCAGTCACATCAATTTGCCATCATGCAAACGTTGGCATCTTTTTTTACTTTTTGGCCCAAACTTCAACAACTTGCTAAATGATACGTGAAAATGACAGTTGACGAGATCGATGACGTTAGTTTTGCCATCATGATGATGATGATGATGATGAGGCTGCAGCAATGTACCTTGACAAATTGACACATTGCCAGGGCAGCTGAAGAGAGGGGGAGGGGGGCTATTGAAATTGTCCCGACTGTGATTTATGCGCCGGCCAAAGGTTGCATGCAGCTCGAAGCTGCCTTTCTCACGCTGCCAAACTTTTTAGTTACAGCTCTATTTGGCTTGGCTCATGCGTTTTCAATTAACTAGCGCAACTAATTCGATTAGGGCAATTGCCGAGCAAACGAATGCGCATTAAATTGGCTCGTGGCAAACTCTTTGTTCCCACAAAACAAACAACAAACCTTGCTGCATGCGACATACTGCACCATTTTTGCATACGAGCTGCGCGTGGCCACCGTTAGTTACGCAATCGGCAGGCCATAAATTTGCAGCCCCGTTGATTTAGGTACAAGTGTGGCAAGGCGGCAACAAGCGGCAAATGCGTTGCATGAAATGCGCAAAGGCTGCAGCTGGTTTAATTACCTGAACCACTGCCATTTGCCATTGGCCGTTGCCCGTGGCTGACTGGTGGGAAAACTTAAAGCGCAATTTGTTGGCCTGGCCAAGCGAGTCTTTAAGTGAGCCAAAAATAAAAAGAAAAGCATGAAAATGAAGAGAAAAGCAAACAGAAATCTCATCAGAAATGCTGGCAACGTCTGCACAGCGCGCTCTGTGCCTTTGTCATTTGCTGTATCTGTATGCGTATCTGTATCTCTCTATATATATATACGTATCTGTATCTGTAGCTGAGTATCTCAGTATCTGTGTGCGCTGCGCAAACTTCAGCAATAAATTACAAAGTTGCCATTTTGTTTTTTATCTACTTGCTTTGCGCTTTTGTTTCTTTTCTTTTTTGTTTTTTGTCGTTTTGCTTTTGCTTTGTGTACTTTTTGTTTGCAAAATAATTTTGATTTATTTTTCGTGCGCCTCGCTCCCCACAGCCGACACACAACCCCCTGGCACAACTCGAATGCTGTATACTGTGTCTGTTTGTTGTTGTTGTTGTTGTTGGGGGTGGCACGTCGAGTTTATTTATATAAAGCTCTCCATTAAAAAGGAAAGGCAACACAAAGACAGCCACAGCCACCAGCTAGCAGAATGGCAGCAGTATTTATGTATATTTGTATTTATAATTACTGCACATGCGTATTACGCAGCGCCCTTTATGTAGTGAGGGGTTGGGGTTGGGGTTGGGAATGGGAGCTGATTTTGGCGGGGGCTGCATTTTGGGGGAGTTTTACACAAACACACACACACACACACCCGCTCAGTCAGCATACAGACGGATACATAAATTTTCAAGTTGGCGGCAATGTTATAAATTATGCAGCACGAAGGCGCAATAAAAGAAAATGGCTGCCATTGCCAGTGCCAGAAGCTTTGAAAACTTTAACCAACTTGCTAACAAAGTGCTGCACGTCTAACCCAGAACTCGAGCTCATTGTTTGCTTTCCTCTGCTCTCCATTGCAGGTGTGGTTCAAGAACCGACGGGCCAAGTGGCGCAAGCGCGAGCGGAATGCAATGAACGCGGCTGTGGCGGCGGCTGACTTCAAGTCCGGCTTTGGCACACAGTTCATGCAGCCGTTTGCCGACGATTCGCTGTATACGTCATATCCGTACAACAACTGGACGAAGGTACCGTCGCCGCTGGGCACCAAGCCGTTCCCCTGGCCGGTCAATCCGCTCGGCTCGATGGTGACCAGCAATCATCACCAGAACTCGGTTAACTGCTTCAATACGGGCGCCAGCGGCGTGGCCGTGAGCATGAACAACTCAATGCTGCCGGGCACCATGGGCTCCACGCTGACCAACACAAATGTGGGCGTGGGCGCTGCACCCTGTCCGTATACAACACCCGCCAATCCGTATATGTATCGCGCCGCCGCCGAGCCCTGCATGAGCAGCAGCATGTCCTCGAGCATTGCCACATTGCGGCTGAAGGCGAAGCAGCATGCCACCGGGTTCAGTAGCCCCTATTCGGCGCCATCGCCAGTGTCGCGCTCCAACTCCGCCGGACTGTCCGCCTGCCAGTATGGCGTGACCGATGTTGTCTGAGAAAACGCACTCGGTGCTCTGCTTAATCAGCACCAGCACCACTTGCAGCACTTCTCCGGCCAGCACAATGGCAATGCCATGCAGCAGCATTTGTCCAACAACAACAACAATAACAATAACAACAACAACAGTCATATGTTGCACGGCCACAATAGCAACAACAACGGTCTGCTGCTGGATCACAGCGACTTGGGCCTGGGCGGAGGAGGCGGAGGCGGAGGTGGAGGCGGCGCTGATGACGGGGGCACAGTGACCCACAACGATGACAACAACAAATCGCCATTGGGCGCCAATGGGTTAATGTCAGCGGCCGCGAATGCCGGTGGCGCCTCCAGCGGCAATGACAACGGCGACGATGTCGACGAGGATGTCATTGATTGAGCGATTGCTAAGTATATATAAACAAATGAAATGATAGCTATATATGTATTTTATATATATATATAGATATATGAAATATTTAAATCGTACGTACTTATAATATAAATAATAAACGATTTGTTATTGTAAACCAGCAAAAGCCCAAAAATTATAAAAAATGTTAGCATTAAGTGTATTTAATTAAATTTTAGATGGAAAAACAAAAGAGCGCAAATGCAGCATGAGCAAATGAAACACAACTTTTTTGAAGAACAATAATTACATTTATAAAACAAATAAAATTATGCATACAAGCAACAACAACAAAGACCCACAGACGCAGAAAAAAATGGGGATAGGCGGAGTTTTTGTGCAGTTTTAATTAGTGGGTATTAAGCGGCAGTCGGAAAGGCAGAAAAATTAATTACAAATTGATAAATGTGTTTTATGTTTTGCATTTCTGCATTGAGATTAAATGCCAATTATGTTCATTTAAATGAAAAAAAAAATAAAATTAAATAAAAAAAAGAAACCCAAACGTCTATGTAGAATATTAAGTGTTTTGTACATATAAAGCAAATATTTAGCTATAGGCAGCAAGCTGTATTTATAAGAAGTAGTTCGCTCTTAACTAATGAACTAACTAGCTAACTATTAACTAAATAGCAAAAAGTTCAAGTTATCTGCTCTGCAAAAACTTTTGACACACAACCAATAAGTCTTTGCCCACTGTGCATCAGCAAAAAAAAAACACATACTTAAATAAATAACAAAAAACTATGCCAATATATGAACAAATACTTTGTTTTGGCAGCACATATACCAAATATCTAAAAGTTTATATATATATATATGTAATGAAAGCGTATCAAGATCAAGTCAAAAATGTATTGTAAACAAACTATATCAAAAGTCGTAGCAGTTTTTAAGGAGTTGTCTAGTCGTATAAACATCCAGATATAGATCACAAAAAAATGAAAAAAAAAAAAAATAGAACAAAATAAAAAAAAATGCTAAAAAAACAAAAACAAAATCAACAATATAAATAAATATAAATATATTTAATAATTGTACACTTAACATTACTAGTTATAGAAATTAAATCAAAGCAAAAGAAAAACAAAAAAACGAACAATAAAAATTATGGAAAACAAATCGAATCAATAATTTTATTTATAAATAACAAATGAGTTTTCTCCAAATTCAAATTAAAAAATCAAATTGTAATTTATGCACAGAGCCCAATATGGGCATCCGTTCGGTTGGACCCTGGAGACTTGGCCTTGCGGTTGGCAAGTGTTTAATTTAGCAGGAAGGTGGTCGGACCTGGACCATCCATCAATTTATTCATTACAATGAAATTATGTCGAATTTATATGCACCCCACCGGCCCAACCGGCCCACCGAGCGCTGAATGACAAACGCGCCCCACCCCCCCGACCAGCCCGGCGGTGGTCGACAGTCGTTCGCCTTTTTCAGGCGGTGCGCGGGGTTGGTGAAAATCACCGCACAATAAAAATAATAATAAAAGGACATGCTAGGGCTGCTTTAGTGTTGTTGTTGTTGTTGTCCTATGCAAAATGCCCAAATGGCATTGTCAGCCATGGGGGGTTGGCGTGGCCGCCCCTTGGCCCCGGGTTGAGGGTGGCCATCAAATTTGAATTTCATATGCTGGCTGCCGGCTCACTTGCCACTGATTGAAGGCAGGCTAATAAAGTAACGGGAGCGGCAAGCGATGAAGCGGTGAGTGGGAAGATGTAGCGGAGATGCGACTGAAGAATGACACCCCGCCGCGTTAAGCGTCGTTCAATGCCAGATGGATAGGTGGGAGGGGGGCGTCTGGGCGTTTTGAGGGACGGAGGCCAACCATTTGATTTATTTTATTTCCCATTCTGCCTGCTGTTAATGTTTTAATAAGATTGATTTTATTGCGACCGCGTGGGTGTCTGCAGGCCAAAGTCAAAGGGTTAATAAGTTGCCTGCCCGCTGTTTAAGAACTTTATTAGTGCCATGAGCCCCCATTCGCATGGCCCCTTCTAATGCCATGGACCGTGGGCAATTGCAATTGCCATGCACGAAATTAGCAATTAAATTGCTTGAATAAACAGCCAAACGGCTTTTGCCCACGAACGGATGAGCAGCTGACGAAATGTGTTTGGGGTGTTTGGGGGAAGTGCCTAAACTAAACTCTGTTCAAGTTTGGGCAACTAGAGAATGAAGCCTGAGGAGCATGCTGTTATCAGAGGCGCCACACTCGGCAACATGAATGTATGACATTATTCTTTGGCAATGCGCAATTAACTTTTTGGCGTAATTAATGCCGACTCTAATTATGGTTAATCATGCTCAGCCTGGCACAAGCAGCAATATATATGAGCAGCAATTAAAATCAGCAACATGCCAACTCAAACACGCTCATACATATTTAAGCGACTGCAATGACACTAGCTGAAAGCGGAGATATGTGGCAAGCGACAAATGTTCTGTGAGTGAGATGCAAAAATTTATCTAGGGTTTTTCTTTTTTGTTAATTATATATTATGATATATTAACAGAAGACATTGGAGTAGTAAAAACAGAAGTGTTGCTAGTTGTAATGCCACAAGTAGTAAAAATAGTAGTAAATGTACTTGTTGTTGTAATTGAAGTAGTAAAGAGTATTCGAGTAAACGTAGTAACAGTAACAGTAAAAGTATTAGCGAAAAAGCAGTAACAGTGGCAGAAGATATGATAATATACATATGTAGTAGCAATAGTGTTAACGGTAGTAGTCAAGTTTAGTGGTAGTATGTGTAGTAGTAGGTGTAGTAGCAGATGTAATAGTAGGTGTAGTAGTAGGTGTATTAGTAAGTGTAGTAGTAGGTGTGGTAGTAAGTGTAGTAGTAGGTGTACTAGTAGGTGTAGTAGTATATGTAGTAGTATATGTAGTAGTATATGTAGTAGTACATGTAGTAGTATATGTAGTAGTATATGTAGTAGTATATGTAGTAGTA